ATAATGTTTATCACTGCGTTTATGGTTATCGAATGAGAACTATGAAACTGTAATTCTTTGTTAAACCATGTAAAATAATATTATATTTATCATGCGTATATGAGTAGTGTTACGCAGACCATGTAAAATGCAATTCGGCTATTCAAGGGAGTCGATCGACCTACGAGTAATCGTACTGCGGCAAAGTGCAGCAGTCGGCCGTTGACTCTCAAGATATGGGATCCATTTGATAGACGACGTATCTAGCATATGCCGACAAAAATGGTGCCTGAACATCAGGACCCGTAAGAGTAGGTCAATTTGTCTAATTTGTTTACCTATGACAATATTTTTGTAATTATTTGATAATAATTGAAATTTGCAACCATTTCTACTTACTAATGTAGAAGAGGGGTTCCGGTCTGAAAGCCTTTTTAAAGCACTCAAGGTACAGAGAGATTTGATACGGTAAGTATGTGTGAGGTATAACAAATACAAATCGTTCGTTTCCCCGTGGCAAACATAGGCCGCAATAGTTCGATGGGCCGTATATTAGAAAGGGGAAAAAACTTGCACTCGACTTGGGACTCGACCACATCGACGATCTCAATTTGAATTCGCTTTGCACCCGTGCGTACTTTGCACCGCGGGCAGGGCAGTGAAGTGTCGATAAGATTGCCGGCTAAGCAGTTTGCTAGCTTAGCCGTGTATTTATAGGGGTTTAATCAGGCCTTATGACCCCCATCGAGTGGTTTGTTTGGTATTTTTGGAAAATCTGCACATGTTTGCTCCGAGATAAGTCTGCTGCCGGAGCCAAAACTTCAATACGTGGCCAAGGTTGACTGGTCAGGCTTAAAATTGATCTTAAGAATCAGTTGTGAACGCAGATATACGAAAGAGTACATATATACAAAGTAAGTAAAGTCGAAACCAGTGTTGGCCTTGGCATGGAACTTGATCTGCTGTGTGAGACTCACTAAAGCACAAAATGCATAGCAAATTAAATTTTGCCTTCTTCTGCTGAGAAAAACTTGGGCTTTTTAGCGTTAAGCTTGAGTTTTTAGGCGCTTACGCTTACGGGCAAAACATTTAAATTCAATTGTATAAAATCATAATTTTTATCACTATGAACGACAGTAAACGTAAAGTCGTAAAGTAGTGTTTAATTTTTTTTTTAATTGTACCCTATAGGAATCGGAAATTTATATTTTTTTATTGGTGCATAGAGATAAAAGACACAGCAATATGAAATGCTAAAGAGACGTCGCTTCCGTTGTTTTAATTAAATCGCAAGGTAGAGCTATGCAATATTTTATTGATACTTCCGATACTTCAATTTTAAGTTTTATTCTTAGCCTACAAGTAAAAAATGAAGAGATAGGCAAAAAAAACTGACCCTTAAAAATACTCTGCTTTGAATATTTTTCCTTTCTTAGACAAAACCGCAAATAATGCCCTGGCAACCCTAGACAACTCGAAAATTAGAGACGGAGACGACACTTCCGCCATTTTAATTGCTCAAGCTTCGTCTTTTTGGCGTACGTTTTCAAGAACAGATCGGTTAGTGTGCCAGTAGTCTTCCGCCTGACGCACTCGATCGCATCGATTAGTATGCGCGGAGGGTTTCGCTGGGCGACGATCGTACGAAGTCAATGGTAAATAAAAATAAAAGCGAGTTTGTTTTGGTTTTTTGGGCTGGGCGACCTTGAACCTGAAGAAGTCAATAAACCTCGTAATCGAGTGGCAGAAACTAATAATTTTCGTAGACAATTCGTCATAATTGTTATCATTTCCCCATGAAGTTTTCTCTTTTCAGTTTTCCTCCAACAACTGGAAATGGCTGCTGCAGATGGCGACCTAAATAGATGGAAAACGAGTTTCTCTGCTGTAGAGGTTTTGAAACCAAGGGGCGAAATGCGGGGAACAAAGTACTTGTGCTCGTACTCGTATACTCGGCTGATTTTCAGTTCTCTGATACTCTAATTGGACTCACAAAAGAAAAGCCCAGAAATGTTGTATTGAAATGGACACCGCAAGGGGGCGGTATTGTAAACTTATCACCGACTGTTTCGGGTACAGTGGGCCCCCGCTAAGGATCCCCCACTCACGTCAGATCGCGGGTAGAGGTGGCACCCGCTATGTAGAACCAGCGCCATCCGGGTTTCGTCAGCAGCAGGGCGACCAGTGCGACGAGCACAGCAAAAATCCAGCCCATTGTGTGGAGCGTGTAGATGACGCAGGCGATTGCCAAGCCGAAAGCGACCGTTGCGCAGAAAAACCGAAATATGACTAAAAACCGCTGGCGTCGTCTTCGCTGTCGATCGTGCGATCCGTATGTTATCGACTTTCGATCGGCCGGGCGCTGCGCGTTGCCAGATCGCCGGAAAGGGAACTCGGTTAGTACAATGGGTCAAATCATTAAAATCACTCCTTACATTGGTGCTATAAAGCGCGCAGTTGTCTATGTTTATTATCACATTGCTGTTCACATAGTTGTCCAATAAGCTGTTATGCTGCAAAAAAAACAAACATATTTAAAGCCGTCGGAATAACAAATTAAGGTATAGTTATTTGGAAAACTTGTAAGTTTTCTCAGATTAATGAACACTGTATTGCTCCATATTCTGAACCTACATATTACTTACTGTAAGCTCGGGCCTCGCATAACCAACGCCGGAGCTATTGTAACGCAAACGCTGATAACGTTCGTTGCGCTGTCACAAGAAGCCATTGAACATATAGAACGGCAGAAAGTGTCGGCGAGCCTTGCGAAATAGCATTTTCCGGTATTTTTATTCGAATAGCTGCTCACTTTTCAAACAATTGCAGGTGACTTGTTTTGGTTTTGTAACTTGTCCTGCGCTGTTTGATTTTTAATGAAAGCTTTTTATGCTGCAGTTCGGAACCAGATCCTGAACTATCGGCTTATGTTCCACCACTAGCTCTTGGATGGCCGCGCCATTCTATCAGCTGACTTTATCACGAGGTGGCAACGCTCTGCGTCACTGCAAATGTTTTGTTTTATTTAGCGGGTTTTTTGGTACTGTCTAAAAACCGCCCCGCCATGAAAATCCTTTGCGAGGTCCAGGTGGTGAACCGCACCACCCAGGCGAACAGGACGCCGCGACCCGTGAAATCCACCCTGGCCATTGGCTACAAGCAGAGCGCCAGGGACTCGAATGGGAACACCAAGAAGGAGCTGGAAATGGTCCTCTTCAGCGGGCAAAACAAGACGGGCAACCGGTACAAGGTCAAGGACAACATCCACGCCGTCCACACCAAGTTTGTGCTCGACGGCAAGGCCACCATTGGCTTCCTACAGCCGGCGGAGAACCTGCTTATCAAGTGCGATCCCATTCAGTTGAAGGGATTCCTACAGACCCTCAAGCTGGGCATGGATGGCAAGGACGCCATCAATCTGAGACTGAACATCGCCTCCGCCACCGCCATTCCCCAGAAGGCGCAGCCCCAGGTGCGCATGGTGGTCAGCAAGCGGAGCGAGTACCCCATCAAGGGTTTCCCGCGCACCCTCAAGTCGCTGACCATCAACAACAGCCAGCTGGTGAAGCTCAGCTTCGAGGTGTGCTCCCTGCGCAACCTCACAAAGCTGGATGTCGGCGGCAACAAGCTTACCAAGGTGGATTGGCCAACGTTACTTGATCATTTAATAATCCTTGTGTCTACCTTTTAGATTCCCTCGGAGTTGGGTCGTTTGGCCCTGACGTCCCTAAACCTGAGCAGCAACAGCCTGGGTGAACTCAATGACTGGTGCTGGCTACGGGGCACTAAGCTTAGACAAACTCTCGGCGAGCTGGATCTCTCGAGCAACGGACTGACTTACTTTCCTCCTCCGCTGGTAAAGTTTGAGAGCTTAGTCTCGTTGAACCTCAACCACAATCAGCTTAGTCGTCTGCCCTTCGGCATCCGTCGGCTGCAGGCACTGCGAAAACTGCACGTGTGCAGCAACAAACTAGAGTCCCTGCCGGCAGCCATCGAGGATCTGCACGTAGACCTCTTGGATGTGTGGGGTAATTGCTTTAAGTCCTTCAATGCAGAGGCCGACCAGCAGCTGTCTCGGCAAAAGGCGACCGCAAACTCACCACATCCCTTGTGGCTCCAGGCCGCCCGAGCCGTGGACACCTGTAAGCTTCCTTTGCCGGCGGGCTCCGTGCCCGCTATACTCATCGAACTGATCTGTGAGGCACCCAAGTGCCTGTGCGGCACGCTCTGCTACGCTCTTAACAAGGAGGATATTTTCCAGCGAGTCACCATGCCGAAATTCACCAACATCAAGAACCTCACATACAGCCGCGAGCACCAGATATACGCGGATGTTGTCCTTTGCAGCCCCAGTTGCAGTGTTTCGGTGCACCGGTGCATCGGTATTTTCAGCAACAAGTTTCCTTGATTGATTGATTAGGTCTAAGTCATGTTAAGCCAACGTTTTATTTATATTGTTTGCGTATTCCTTCATGACTGGGTTACTTAATCTTACCTAAGTTTACTTATTTATTTATATTTGAAACATGGTGATGTTTTATCATATACAATTATGTTTTCATTCCCCCATAAATTATCTTGTTACACTTAAACTGCCAATAAAAGCGAATTTAAAATAGTTAAGAAATGTATATACAAATTTGCTTTTGGGATTACACATTTGGGCGGAAAACTTTAACAAAATACACGGAAAAATCCGAGAATATCACATTTACTTTGTCGTCATTATACAAATATTTAATTATTTCCCCCTGCGCTACAAAATCAACATGAAAATAAATGGAAACGAATTAAATCGTAAATTAACAATTGTTCCTAGTTGATTTGAGCTATTCAATATTGACAGAGTATTTTTAAGATAATGATAACCTATTGGACCAATAAAATTTCTTGATAAAATAGAAATAAAAAGATCAAATAAGCTTATCAAAATGATTATTTGAAGACACTATATCATATATAGTCAGTCGACGTTTCCTAAATCAGTGCTTTTTAAAGTTTCAACTTACGTGGTCGTATAAATGGTGAAGTCAAAGATATTTATCCTGCTGGCATTTACTGCGTTGGATATCATAGGATCTCTGGCAGGAGACCAAAATGCTAGGCGTTTTGTATGTCTGTTATCGGACCCTCCCAATCAATGCAGTGCGTACTGTGTTTCAGCACTGCAGCCAGTGATCAATCACATTACAAAAAAACAGCAGGACTCAAATACCTGCGAATCAAAACTTAATGAAACCCAGGCCAAACTAAATCAAATAGGAAACCAGTTGACGGCGGCGCAGTTCCAAATGACAGACCAGCAGACCTACCTTCAGACAAATTTGACCCAGACTATCCCACAGGACCTCAAGGAAAGACTGGATAGAATAGAAGGCAATCAGACAGTCCTAGCAGGCAAACTTCAAGAAATTAAGAGCAATACGAAAAGTCAACTGACTGCCATGCAGGATATACTATCCAAAGTTGACCGGAGAACCATGCTGCAGAACTATCAACGGATAGGAACCAGATTATTTTACATAGAGCACAACATATATGTGAATTGGTGGACAGCAATTTCAATCTGTGCTGAGATCGGTGGCCATTTGGCGGCATTCAAAAATGATCAAGAGTTTAACGCCATAGCTAAGCAACTTAAGCAAGAAAACTACTGGTTGGGCATATCGGATCCCAAAGAAAAGGGCGACTTTAGGACTGTGGCCACCGGCAAGCAAGCTCCCTATTTTAAATGGCGTTCAAACGAGCCAAATTATCGCAAGTTTGGTCGCAGCGATGAGCACTGTGTTTACGTGTATGGAGTCAGGAACTATATGATAGTTTTATCTTGTACCACAGATCTTATGCATTTCATTTGCCAAGCAGACAATGATGTGTAGTGTTACAAAAAGAAAATCATTTACCATTGGTACATAAATTGGAATACCAGATTTGATTTGTATAATTACACGGCATTAATAAAAATGTTTTTCAAAGCAAGAATACAAAAAAATATGAAATACCGCTTTGGATTGATTTATAAATAATAATTGGATTTTTTAAAAATAAATATTCCATTTTTTTAAAAAGTTTGAGTTTGGATTTTGTTTTTACATTGGGTTTGGGTATGTGTTTCGCTTTCGCTGCGGGTTTGGCAAAGAGGAAAGCAAACATTTTTATTTTGGTAAGAGTTGAACATTTTCTTTTTTTAACTACTATAATGGAGTATCCGATTCTGCTAATTTTCGAGGTATATCAGGGTGTGCAACAATTTGTTCTTAACCCATTTTCTTTTTATTTAGGCGTTTCGTAACGGTGCCAAAGTTCTCTAAAAAATGACTCATACGACATGTATGCCAGTTATAATACTTTACAAAAATACCGTTTTTTTGCTTCCCAACTTTGTCATCTTTCCGATTCCGTTCCATAAGAGTATAAATATGTACGAAAAAACTATTTTTGTAAACCCAAAGTTTGAATTTGACACTATAGACATTTCAACTAAATCTATGCTACCTAGATTAAACACTCTTCCAGCAAATAGCAAAGTAAAAATTGTGTAAGAGCCTTTTTAGCACGACCAAATTATAAAAAAAATTTAGAAATTTAATATATCCATGGAATAGCTTACATATAGACTGCATTGATTTCTTCTTATTTGGGTCACAGCCTGTAGGTTGGATACCCCTTGGATGCAGTGAATCTCCTTCCTTTTCGATGGTATAAAGACATTCACACGCACGCTTGGTTGCTTACTTTGGTTGCGTATTACAGAAGCTCGTTGTTTTTATTATTAAAAGCTTCGTGCGTATGTGACTTGCATAAACGATTTTTTATCAGCCGGCTCACCTACTCACCCCACTGTGCGCCTTCTTACTTTTCCACCACATAGGCCCATCCCTTTGATACCCTCTCTTACGCTCCTATCATTTCATGGTACACTTTAATAAAAGGTTAATTTAATTTAAATATTTTTATAATACTTTTTTAAAAAAGGTTATCCTTCTGTGAAGATATAAGCAAAACAAAAAATCAAATGGGAGATCATACTCGTATTGGAAAAGCCTCTATCAAAATAAAATAAATAGTAGGATTTAGTTTTTTCATTTAAATTAAAGTCAATTTAAATACAATTTGAACTTGCTTTGAGAAGACATTCATCCTTGTGGTATTTATCCACAAGAAGCATGAAAAGTTAAATAGGAGCTAAGTTCGAAAGGGTATCCAACAATTACCAGGGTGATTTTTACAGGCCTTATTCTTATCGTTTGTCGTTCCTTGCTTTTCTTTTGCTTTATCAAATCAAAACTTCGAAGCGATGCCACTTTTTTAAATAAGCATAAACAGGGACACAGCCTCGCAGGACTCACCCACTCGATTGCTAGGCTTTAATGTGCAGCTGGGGAATAAGGCGACGAAGGCCGAGATCCTTTCAGAGGGAAAAGCGAAAAGGATGAGCCATGACTTGTGGCAAACTCGAGCCTAACTATAAAAATGTTTATCAGCATTTGGCTGGAGCAGGGGCGGAGGGCAAGGGGGTTTCTGGAATTTCTCTAAGCTGCCCCAAATCCAATTTTGAGCAGCGTTTAAGTGTCCTGGCTCCGCTTCCGCTTCCTGTTCCCCATTCCCATCCCGGTCCCCATCCCTTTTGCAGACTTTCCTTTTTGTTTGCTATGCAGATGCGTGAGTGGGTGGGTGGTTGTCATTTCGTGTGTGGGTGTGTTTGCCGAACGATGTCCTTTTTGCTTTTCGGCCCTGACTTTGTCGCCTTGTGTGGGCAAATATTTGGCATGACTTTACATTTGCAGTAAGCCGGAAAGTAGGCAATAGAATCGCCTAATGGGAGAAAATCTCTGCCTCCATGTGCATATGGAATGTTGGTTTCGGGGGTACAATTTGTTCGTTTCATTAGAAAGACATATTTGAATTTTACACAGAAAACTAGCAAAAATAGTTTATAATAAGTATTAATAAATAATACTAAATCTAATAGACGATAGATCATTTAAATACGTATCAATAAAAACAAAAACAATTGTATTTATGTATAACTGTTTGGTATATATAGAATTCCTATCTTCAGGAGTTTAAATATCAAAAAAATTATTCCTTCTTAAAGTTTTCTTTATAAAAGAAAAGATTGTATTTAACTTTTTCATACTTTCAAACTCTTACTTTTTCCTAAAATTTAAGGCTCTTAAGAGTGAGCTATGCAAACCATTTTGATCTCGCCGTCTCAGGCCACTGAAAATGTTGTTAGCTCACAAATTTGTATATTTTATACACCAATAAATGGAAAAAATCCTTATAAACCATCCAGACCATATAAAAACGTTTCGAAATTTGGTCTGTCTGGACCCCTGCTCCCATTAAAACCAACCAACCCCGAATCATTTGCACTGTTCCAGCCTAAAACGAAAAGCAAAAACGAAGAAAAAACAAAACAGCAAAAACCAACATCAAAATGTGCCAAGTCAGCTAAGGGAATGGAAATTTAGCAGGTCCCCCAAAAATGCCCCCCATAAAGTCCACGCTCGGAGACAGTAAAAACTCCATTAACTGTCATCAAAAATGCATTTCGCATGCATCAAACCGAAATGGTAATGGCCAGGGGATCATCAAATAGAATAGAATGAAATGGCGCAAATCAAAACACATTGGCATAAATCAAAGGGCAGGGAAAAATTGGGAGACCGAGGCCACTTTTATGGCTAATCCTCGAAGGAGGCCACAGTCCACAGACCCGGACAGATGACTCCCCTGGCAACATTTTTATGCGCAAATTAACTTTGCAATTGCCGGGAGTTGGGGAGTTCGGAGCTCGGAGTCAACTCCGTGGATCTGGGGTGGATGTCTGGGTGCTTTGGGCGCCGTGTCACTCCCCCTGCATTACATAAAATTTATCCCCAATTTGCGTGCAGCGGGTAAACATTTTATTTGACTCGTCTGGCGCTGCTCCACTTTGGCTTATCAAATTTTATTAGCAGGCCGGCAAATTGTGCAACAACAACAGCACAGAACATCAGCCACCACATTACGGGCCAAATAAGCCGTGGAGCCACAAGCCACCCCAAAGAAAACCAAGTGCAGCCCCAGTTTTTCGACCTCCTCACAAGGTATGATTTGTCGCCCGCTATCAATTTCTTTAACACAATACCAACATCCCTCGAAAAGGAAGGAAAAGCAGGCGGAAAAGTGCAAACACACGCGAAACTGTCGGCGACCCCCTCGGATTTTCCTCACTTTTTGGGGGGCTTGTCGCCCAGACGCGTGCAGGGATCTAATAAAAACGTTTTGATAGGCTTATGACCGCCTTCTATAGAGCCAAGTCTCATTCCTACAGACCCTGTATATTTGTCTTAATAATATTTCAAATTTACCAGCTAACTGTTACAGCAAATTTAGATAAGACCCACAGAAAATCAATAAACTCACTTAAAGATGTATGCAGAGGGGTGGAAAAAGTGTTTACCTTGAGGAATGACTGGAGGAATGTGCATATACTGGGTCTTACGTTTAAAGTATGGTCAAAAAGTGTTCATATAGTATTCGAGGTCTGTGAAATATCAGCACACCAAAATGTTTTGAATATTTCAACTATTGGTACTAGTTAATATACAGATCTCATTGTTCTTGATTTGAGAACATTCGTTCTTAAAAGAACTCGTATTAGAACGTCAGAATTCTCTCTGTGCGTGTATATACGTGTATATAAAATTAATATTTTTTTTAAAATCTAAAACCATTTCCTTACATTACTCAGATATGAAATCCAATCTGTACCGAATTAGTCAAAGCAACAGCCGCCCACTTTAGGGATATCATATCCCTTACACTTTCCATATCTACGATTTTCGAAAAAACGTCTAGGAATGTAAAGCACATTGGTGCGGAATCCTTGAATATAGAATTAAAAGTCACTGAGGCACACTTATGTTGGCAAATGTTCCATTCTCGACCCCTCAACCTACACTTTTTTTTTTTCGAAAACACGCTTTCCTGCAGGGAATTTGCTTCCATCTGACCGCGGGCAAAGGACGAATCAATCTCAAAAAATTGACCAACCGTCACAGCAAGCAGCAAATTCTAGATAAACAACAAAGCAATGCGAGCACTCGACGAGCATTGGGAAAAATCAATTTTCAATTTAAAATTTAGATGCTCATCCCCTCGATTCCATTCAGCTTGCCATAAAAGATAAAGATAAAATGCGTTCGAGCGCAAAATGTAAATAGAACTCCCGTTTAAGCGAAACTCAGGCAGGCGAATGAATGCTACAGGTTGTATTTGTGTTTGTCTTTGTGCTCCGATGGGTTGTGGGTGGCGGTGGGCGGTGGGTGTTGGGAGGTGGGTGCTGGCCACGAAGCGATTTCAAAGCAAAATATTGCCGCATAAATCTGACGCAAAAAGTTTGGCTTTGCGGTCAGCAGAGGCGAGTTCTCTTACAGGGAATTCCGGAAGTCAAAGGGGTATATCGTTTATAGAACCATTCAAAAATTATAATGTAAGACTTATTTTGAAATGTTTTTGAATTCAAAAATCGTATTTTTATTTTGAACTTAAATGTTTTTGAATTTAACTTGAAGTTTATAATTTATTTGCGGAGTAAAAACATAATAGCTCTGGCTAAATCTGAATATTAGACTTCACCACTTTATTTAACCATTTTTAACTAATTTACATAGTCTTTATACTAAAACACAAGGTTTTCTAAGTTTTTACTAATTTGGTTTTAGTTTTAGCCCATTTTTGATAATAAGTCATTTTTGACGGCAAACTGGGGATTATATATTCTCATATTCTGTACTCATATTTGGGACTGATCGAAAATAAATAACACTAGGTATCCCTTGAACGAGTCCAGTTCTCCCCACATCGTATTGAATTTCTGTTGGCAGATATTTCCCTTAGATTTTTATCGTGTGGCGAGTTTTTTTACTAGCTCTTAGGCGGTTCGGCAGTGGTCCATATTGTTGTTCTCGCTCCAGAGTTGATTATTTGCCCAGTTTTCCCGGTCCCCGTCCCGCAACAGCCCACTTCTACAGAACGTGCATTTCATTAGCCGAATGTATCTCACAGATATTTCTGGGCGCTTTGGCATTTGGCAAACGATTTTATGCCGCACCGCTTCGGCAAACAAAATCAAATCTGTGACTAGGAAATTGCTTTTGCCTACTTCCGACTCTCTACTTCCTCCCCAAAGGGAGTGGCTCCCATCCGAATTATTTGTTTAATGCAACTATTTAGGGAACGTTTTCAATTCGAAATGCTCCCTTGTGTAAACAGGGCCGGGAGATGATTAAAATTTAACTACATCAAATATTTGCAGCCGACTTTGATGGGTTAGTAAAATGTTTAATAATAATATTAAAAGCATAATTCATTTCGGAGCTCCGAGTTAATAAGAGTTCGTTAAATTTAATGCACTCGCCGGAGTGTCTTTGGGCCAACGTAAATGTTAAATATCAGGAGCAGTTAAGAGCAAAATGGCAGGGGGAAGTCACTTTATTGCAAGGTTCCTGCGAAAATTAATTCATTAGCATTTTATTACATTGGCATAGTGACGACAGCAGCCTGGCTGTTCCTGGTTCCCAGTTCCTGGTTTTCCGCCTTCACGGGTAAGATGACGGAGCTCTCCCTATAGAAGCATTGATTGCCAACCCGGTCCCCACACCCCATCGCCCATCTTCACCATGTACCACCCTTCGAGATCTTCTTTGGTGCTTTGATGTGTAATTAAATCAATAATCACTTTGCAGTCGCTGTCGGCTTCGGGGAGTTTATTAGTTGATTGAACCAGCAGGTGGCCCAGGTGGAAAGACGATGCTCTTGGGTTGGGAAATTACTTTCAGGCGGCGGTCCATACGTGTAAGTGGAGTTTGGGTGACTATTAACTGTCAACTTTAAACTAGAAGTATATATAATAGTTTACTTAATAAGAAATTAAAACATTAGGTACAATTAGTTCTTTATACTTTCAAACAGATTGATAATGATCATTAATGATTTATTATCAACTTTAAAATTCTTTCTGTTGATGAAAAGTATAAACATAATAATAATTAAAATAGCTTTATCTGTGTTTCTTGTGAATTGGGAAAGAATTGTATTATGTCATATAAGAAATTAATAGATTTATAAAAAATTTCTTAAGGCTATTTAAAATTACAAAAGATGTTGGAATCTTCATAGAAAAACACAGAAATATTATCAAAAACTTTGTTAATAAATTATATCAAAATAAAAATAAATGAACTACTGACTTTGACTTAGTTTCTTGGTAAGAACGTATAATAATTGGAAAATAAATGTAAATAAGATTATTTAAATTTTAAATTTCAAAAAATATTTATGTAACTATAAAAGGTAACGATACAGGTAAAAGGTAGAATGGGGCCAACCAATCGATTGCAGTTAAGTAACTATTTTTTATAATTATCCAAACCGTACAACATTGTTAGCAAACTAATCTTTATAAATATGTACGATACATAAAATTATTTTATTTTGGTACTACGTTACGCTTGCAATTAAAATAAAAATAAATGAACTTTTATATTATTTCATATGATTTTAAAAGATGAACTCTGTTGATATTAGTTACACTATTAAATAGTAAACAAAGCAAAAACAAATACATATTCAACTATTTTAAATTTTAAAGTAAGGTTTGTAGTTGCACAATCTGTATCTCGACTATCTGCTTAGTCAATTTGAACAAGACCATTTGTTTGTGTGTAGTTTCTTCAAATGATATGAGTTAATCGCCTCATTCAGGTGGCGTGGGACGCATCGCTATATGCTTCTTACGCTCACGAAAAATCAGTTGCCATTCAACCTTATCAAAAAGCTTTGATAAGACCTGTTTTTGGGTTAATGGGGGGTGGGATCCGGGAGGTACATTCTCCGCGAGTCTGGGCGGAGAAACCTACATTCGTTAAAAGCTTAGAATACCGCGGGCAAGCTCACTGTATGTTTGAGGTCATATACAATAAGTTAATTGAGCTAAATTTCTCTCAGTCGCAGTCCGCGAGTGAGAAACTTGGGAAGATGTCAGCGATCGTTATACGCGCCATGAATATGGAGGATTTCGAGGAGGTGGAGGCCTTTCTCGCAAAGCACTTCTTCAAGCACGAGCCGCTTATGCAGATCCCCCAGAAGGACCCGACGCAGGCAGCAGTGATTCCCGAGGAGGAGGAGCTGCACCGCTCGCTCATCCCGCAGAACCTCTCCTTGGTGGCCGTCGACGTCGACGAGAAGCGCATTGTGGGTGTGGTACTGGCTGGCGAGCTGACCCCCGAGGATCTGGAGAGGGAGTTCCGGGAGACCGAGCAGAAGGAAGTCACCTGCCTGCTGGACAAGATTCACAAGTTCCTGGCCGGAGTCGAGACACAGGCCAACGTCTTTGAGCACTTTGGAGTTCAGCGAGCCCTCTACCTCTACATGCTCGGCGTGGACACCTCCGTTCGTCGCCAGAGAATAGGAACCCGTCTTGTGGCCGCCACCATCGAGCTGGGTCGCCAGCGGGGCTTCCCCGTACTGACCTCCACCTGCACCAGCCTGCACTCCAGGCGTCTCATGACCGGTCTTCAAATGGAGGTCGTCCTCTCGAAGGATTACGCGGACTACAAGGACGAAAACGGGGAAGTCATACTCCCAGCAGCCGATCCCCATACCTCAGCCAGTGTCGTGGGCATCCGACTGTAGTGCCATTAAATTAACTCATCAAAGGATATACTACAGTATACTATAGTATTTTTAAACAAACATATTCGGTACATTCTCCGAAAAACCCGCCACCCAAAACAAAATTTGGATGCAATATTATTCGTAATATTTAAGTGATAGTGTACATCGAAGCAAACACAAAACGTGTTATCTGAGGGTTGTCGCATGTAGCCCTACAAAGAGCTAGAGTTTTTCGGCCGAATATGTTTGAGAATGAGTCAACGGATTTTAATGCAATATCTTATGTGAAGAACACTAAAAGTTTTAGGAAAATAAAAAAGATATTCAATTTAATATATCATTAAGAAAAACTAAAAAACCGTTTTTGAATTTTTAACAAAATTGGCTCCGTTTGATTTGTTTTGAAAAAATCTTAAAATGATCATTACTTTATTTACCAACAATGCTATGGTGGAAATTTTAGGACAGACATATTTGCAAAAGTTAGAAGTTAAGCACAACAAAACGGTTTATACTTAAAAAAAAATTTTAAAATGTATATCTTCAGTTTTTTACCAGATCAACACAATCTTTTTGCGTTTTTAAAACAAGATTGTTATTAAAAATTTCATTGAAAAAATTAAAAAATTAAATATAACTGTATTTAACTATTAAAATAAAAACAACTAGTTACTACTAAGTACTATTTTTGATTGTTGCATAACCATCTGCATTGGTTCATTTGTCGAAGAATATTTTTTGTATGTAGAATCCACTTAAAGGCATAAGAAACACCCAAAAAACACACCCTGCCCCAACCTTTTTCCATTTAATGCCCAATTAACGCATTTTCCACTTGGAATTCACCGAAGCGAGAGATTTGTATACCTTTAACGGCAAAAGGCAGAAAAACAAAACGCAAAAGGGAATCGTGAACGTGCCACAAAGCAGAAAAGGCCACAGAGTCGGAGCCCCCGTAAGTCCCAGATCCAGATCCAGAACCCCGGATCCCAACTCCTCCAGTTTCCCGGGTGGGGTCTCCACTTCCCCGCCGCAAATGAGAATGCGCGGCATTTGTCGCTTGGCTGCAATTGCAAGCTGGGTAAAAAGGAAGTGGGGGTCGTGAAAACAGGAGCTGCACTTCATTAAAAAAGGATGCCGAGGCAGAGGCAACTTGGTCGTTAGGAAACTCCTGACTTACAATCACAAACACAAGCACAGTCGCAAGGACAAGCGCACGGGCTGCTTCAAAATGAGTGATGTAATGTGCCTAACAAGGACCTCCCGTTCTCCTGCCACCCCGACTTGCTCATTGTTGCTTGTTGACATAACGAATGCCTTAACATTTTTCGAGTTGCCTCTACCTCAGCCACGCCCCCCGCCCATACGCCCACTGTGTGCGAGTGTGTGTGAGGGTGCACTTCCGCTCCACTTACACATAACTCGCCTCTGCCGGCGTCGCAGCCGGCGTCACGCCTGGAGATGGGAAATACTTTATAAGAAGATAGAAGTATTATTAACATAAATAACCAAGATCTAGTTGTAGTTCCTCAATGCATATCAATTTTTTTATTTGCGAGTCAATTATTTTAAAGAAGCTATACAAATTTTTTTATATAAAAAAATAAGCAAGCTAAGAGATAACAATTTTTAAATGATTTACGGTATTTTTCTTAAACATAAATAAGTAAAATATTTGTACTCATACTAAAACTTCAAATTGTTGAAAAAGAAAACTTAGCTCATCTGTGAAAAGCTCTAATTTGAATTCTTTCAATTTAAAAAAATGGTCACACTAAAGAAGTATTAGATATCACATTTAAGAACCATTTTCTAATTTTTACAACCAGATTAGAAAAGAAAACGAAACAGACATTGTTACTTATTATTGTAAACCTTTTTATATGATAATCATTTTCTAGATAGCAAATAATCTCGCCTGTAAAGGGATTAATAAACCTCAGACCTATTCCAAAGCACTCTTTAAAATCCCTTTCAAACATTTCTATATCCCATCTCTAGCTGTTCGGTTGACGTTGGCGGTTTGTCGAGTTAATGACTTTGGCAGCTGAGAGGAGCAGCCGTGGATGACGAGCCAGGGGCTGATGGCTGATGTTTGGGCCTGTCAGCGGCTCCGAGGCGTGCAAAAATCATTTTTCTCGCACATTTTTATAAATCACCCTGCCTCCTTGCCGCCGATCACCCCACGGATGCCAAACAATCATCAACATTTATTTACATTTTTCATTTCTCACATTTTCCGAAAAGCCGGCAGAATTGCCTATAATTTTCAGTGTAGGGGCGCTGATCCCTCAAGGTGTCGCTTAGCAGGAAGGGGAAAGGAAAGCGGGAAATTCCGACGACTGCTGCCTGCAGTTGACAGTTAATTATTTGTATAAATCGCTGCAGATGTTGCGGGCATTGAAGGGTTAAATTCGGAGGCATTGAATTAAATGAATTTGAATATCATATGTGCAAATGTGGATAGCGAAAACTTTGAACTTCAAGCATTTTTATAAAATATATTCCTTAAAGGAATAGTTGTGGGTATATTAATGACACAATCCATTTTTGACTTGTGCATTGTATTCTAGTTAAGATAATTGCAATACACCCCAAGGAATGCTCTTTTACAATTGGAATTGATTTCTGGGCCCTCATCTATCCCCTATTCTCATTTAAATTTCTAGCTTAGCATGAAAATAAATTTCTATTTAAAGATAATATATCAAGCCTTCCCCCCCGCTCATCCAACTGGTATCGCATTACAGGATAAGGATAAGAATTGTTCCTGTTGCTCTTTGTTCTGTTATCCTTGAGCCAGCCCACTCTTATCCTGGGGCTGTTGCTACTTTCTCTGCCGCTTATCATGGCCATGCAACTTGAAAACAATAAATATTTTATGGCCCCTTTTTGGCGAGCGCATAAATCTTTTTCTGGAAATTGATCCGAGCAACGAGCTGAGTGCGTATGTTCGTGTTTCGGAGGTGCAGATACAAAAAGATACAGTGATGCGAGATACAGATACATTTGCCACATTGACACACTGAGCACTTACGGGCTCAGCCTCGCACTCGGGTATTTGCGAAATTTGTCTTCTGGCGGGGGAATTCCCATCCTACCCACTCCCAGAGGTCCCAAAAAGCCCGCATCTTATGAGATTTGCACATTGATTTCACCCCCTTTCGCTTCGGAGTGTTTAGTAGGTCGCAGATTCAATGCTTCATCGGATTTCTTGTGTGCTCTCAAGTGGTAGATTTTCTGGTATTTTCGGGGGCCCTTTTGAAGTTAAAGTATTCAACATTCAAGAAAAGGAATTTAACTTGTTGCCGCAGGCAAAGGAAAATTAATTTTAAATGCATAAATGATGTTAGGTCCATACAATATTGCTTTAAATTAAAATTTTGAAGCCTTTAAATAATCAAAGACTTGCAACTAAACTTCACCATTTAATTACTAAGAAAGTTAAGGTATTCTCTTAACATGTTCAGACAATCAACAAATAAATAAATATACTCTTACTGATTAGAGGTTCCTTGGCGACCTAATTTAAATAGCATATGCTTTCTTATCTAGGGTTTTCCCATAAATATTTATATAGCTGACTTTAGACATTAGTTATCTTCAAGTACTAAGTATTTTTTCAGCTTAGTCATTTCAAATCTTTTATCGCTTGCGAACAAATATTTGTCATTGGATTTCAATCGACTTGCTTAGAATCTATTGCTTTTCTCTCACCAACTCTTTGCCCTCCTCTTTGGGAACTATTAAAAGTTTGAATATAACTTTTTGAGCCAATCGGCCGCACTTTGTGTCAGTCAAAATTGTTTGCGGCTAGTGGCTTGGATAACCGAATGCCCGAGAGGGATATTAAAATGGCCGAAAATACCATGAATTTAGGGAGGCAGCTGGGGAATTTCTATATTTGCATCCACAAAAATCGAACCGCATAGTAAATAATGTGAGAATCAGCTTTAAATGTCATTGAATTGGTTAAAATTTCGATTAGTGATGGTTTCGATTTGTTTGCCGAAACGAAAGAAACGAGTTTTGAGTCGGGAAGCTTTTCATATGATAATGCAGTTTGTAGCTGACATTGCAAATGCTGATAGGGTAGCTCAAGGGGCGGGATGGGGCGATAATAACATGCATAAATTTATATATTTATGCTCAACAGCTCGTTTAATGAACTGCGCATTGTTCGTGCTGATTTGCATAGCAAGTATCTGCGTAGCTGTCGCCCCAAATGTAGCTGTATCTGTGTATGTGCACTGAGAAAAAGTCGAACCTTTGAAGTTAAAGCAAAAATAAAATGTTTTAATTGATGCAAAGTCTATTTCAACTTCTTTTTTAATACAATACGATGTATAACATCGAATTTGAAAAAAAAAATATTATAATATAAATAAGAAAAAAGATGTAAAAAACTGAAAGAAAGAAAGAGCTAACAACAAAAATAGTTATTTTTATTTTATTATAATAAATATATTACAAATATTTTTATAAATGTTTCTCAAATACTTTTCCCAGTGTGTCCGAGTATCTGTGTGTCGAACTGTCTTTGTGTGCGAGTGCGTGTTTGTTTGCTCGTTAAATGCAGAATAAGCTACACTTAACAATTGAATAACACTCGGTACTACTTAACTCCCACAACTGGTCAGTGAGATAAGCAGACACATTTTCTACCCCCCAGTTCATCTCCATCACAGCAATCGTGTGTAAATACTAAATTTCTAAAATTAATTTCAGTTCGTGTGTCCGATTTGGAGTCGGTTATCATGCCCTTGCCACTCCCTCCGCCAAAGTGCGATAAATTTATAAATGTGTATTAATAGCAAAATAACACTCATATCCCAGTCTGCCGGCGTTGATTGCACTTTGATCGGTAAATAATTAATAAGTTATCGCTTATTTTGTTGCTGTGGTCCCATGAGTAATTTGTTGACCAAAAGTGCGGAAGGTTATTTTTTGTTAATGGGTTAATGAACAAGAATGAAAATATCGAAGCGCAACCGGTTTGTGACTTTACAATGTAAAAATAGTAATAGTGAAATAAATTTGTAAAAATCAATAGGCAATGCATATTAATGTGATTATTTCAATTACGGGTAATAACTATAAATCGATTGGACGAAGCGAAATTAATCCAATGTTATTGTAAACAATGCAAACAGTCTATAAACAAGATACAATTATTTTTAACAAATGTTTATTCAGGTAAGCTTTAAGGCTAATATGAATCTAACATATTATTTATTTATTTAGGTACCATATTGATTTCAAATTTGTCTTTTAGGTTATTTCGGTTGCTTGAGTTTATTTTATAATTTG